AGACTGAAACGAAATGGAGCGTTTCGTCGCTTTTGCATAGTCTGTAGCAAAGGAGCATACCATCGATTCACTTACCCCACCGACGGACCAAGATTCAACATTTCCCGCTTACTTCAATTTTCCGCTAAATTTCCAATTTTGCCCCTCTTTCTAAGCTTTCTGGTATCCTCTTATATAAAAAAAAACCTGGGTCCTATTTTCAAAATCTGATTACAGCGGGCTCATTTATGGACTATCACCTGTCGATAACCGCAAAAATTATGAAAATCGGCCCCGTAAAACGCTCAAACGAACTATGACAAAAAATAAAAAATTACACTGTTTAAATGGGAGAATTTGCAATTTTACTATGTAATATAGAAAAACCCGAGTCATTTTTTAAAAATTCAAATAAAGCGGGCTTATCTGGAGACGACTGCTTGTTGATAGCCGCAAAAATCATGAAAATCGGCCCGGTAGAACGCTGGAACTAAACGTTACCAGATTCGCAAATTTAGGAGGTCTCGGAGCTTATATATATGATGCTGAACAGAATTTGTAGAACGACTAGTAGTTAGAATATTTTTTGTAAAAAAAAAACTAGTGGTTAGTGCAGCATGATCGAATAGTAAATAACTGAAAACCCTAATAAGTTGACAATTAGAGTAAAAATTAGGTTCACTATATTTTATTTAGATGGGATTGAGCAAACAGGGCACATAATGGGTCACTAAACCATGAACGAATTTTGACTTGCGAATATAGTTTTCTGAAGGAAAATGACGCATAGAACACGATGCGCACATTAAAAATGCGAGCAAGTAGCTCAATAAACAAGAAATGCGCATTTCAAATCGCTCAACTTATACGCAAATTTAAAACGCCCCGGTTTCGCGCCGCACCGAATGATGTCATCCGGCACCAATCAGAAGCGGGCACGGGTTTCTACGACGTCAGTTAAACGTCTATCTACTCTTCGTATATGAGAACAATACTAAAGTCGAAATTATATATTTTGAATTCAAAACTCGAATCTCATTCATATGTTAGCTGTAATAAACAAGCAACAATTCCACATTGAATTACGTTTTATTTTAACAAACATCAGAGGAAAATGAGAGGAGACTGCGATATGACTACCGCAGTACATCAACACCGTCAATTTCCCGCCATTCGGGTGCGTTTGAAATGTCTTGCAGTTTTTAGATTTTTCAAAAGCGGGTTTCTCCGCGATTTCGGCTCCGTAAAAATGCGGAAAAATCACCACGTTATCTACTCATATAGAACTTTCAGAATATTCAATAAAATAAACAAGGTTTAGTGACCCCCCCCCCCCCAAAAAAAAAAAAAAAAAAAAAAAAAATCTTTCTAGCGAATTAACTTGGCTTTTCAATTTAGTCGCGTGGAGGCTGGGTTTGAAAAATTCAAAGGAAAGACATTCATAACTCTTCTGAATGATACATATTTTCTTTAGTAAAACTTGGCAACATTTTGATGCTCACATGGCGTTCTTCCTTCTAACAACAGCAACAGCATACATGCCTACCTCTTGCACAGGTTCCATCTTTGCACACAATAACATGCAAAAGATGCTGCTATAACAATGAATACAGGATAGCACAAGAGTGAATAGTACCACTCGTCCATTATACTTTTCTCTGAGCTCCGTAAATGAGAAGGAGTGGAACTCCCTTTAACACTCTCCCTTCCCATTCCACCCTGGATTACACTGATGCTTGTCGGTGTGCAATCCTTCGTCGATGCGCGTGCATTGTAGGAGTGCTCATGTATTGTGAACTCCATTAGAAAGCATGAGCATGGTAGATAGGCTGATAAGATAAAAAGGAAACAGGAAGAGTATTAAAAAAAAAAAAAAAGTGAAGGGGTAAAAACTTTAGTACGAGGGTAATCACAAAAGTCTTGCGCGTTTTGCTCAGATTTCAGAACTATTAGGAACTAGGGGGCTATGCCCCTTGGCCGCTACGCGGCCCAACCCCCAGAGGACGCTCTGCGCCCGCGTCGACAGAAAAATGACCAAAATAAAATCAAAAGAGTATCATGTCCGACTCTCATTTGTACAATCTCCCTCTGCCGGGAGCGATTGGACCAAGAAGAATCATCATCAATTGTTGAATTTAAAAAAAAATCGTAGCAAATGGGTTCCGAAAATTCTAGCTTATCGCGCGCGCCTGGAGGTAGCGGGAAACGCATCGAAGGTGGCGCGGGAGAAATGACCTACTGAGCGACCAGTTCATCTAATTTTTAAAAATATGGGTTTAAATTAAAGCTGAGAGTATGCCTCATATGCGCATTTAATTGGGTTTTCCCTATCTCTAATAATTTTGAAATGAGAGCAAAACGCGTAAGACTTTTGGGATTACTCGCGTATGAATACTAAACTAGGTTGTCTAGGAGTCTTGAAAAGTATGTGCTCAAAATACGACTAAATTCGTTTCTGGAACACGCATAAGTTGATTGGTTTTTTTTTAACTCTATAAAGTCTAATCGGTAGAAACTATAAACGAAGTCAAACAAATAGTTCTGAACCTGATTTGCAGACTTCGAAACCCTTATTTATCCTTTATTCATTCTTTTGCTGGAAGCTATTTAATTTCCTCACAAGGTTCATTAGTCATATTTACCCGATTTGAAAGCTTTTTAGAGTTTTGGGGATTTTTTCATACTTTCAGACCGAGAAAAATGTTTAAAAGCTCTTGTTTAACATGAGCCTCGAGCAAGAGCAGAATTCTTTTAATATTAGAAAGTGTAATTTCAGACTTTCTCCTTTTAATTTAATAACCAAATATGTTGCAGTTATTAAGTTCAAAGTTACTAAAGCGAAAAAATTAATTAAATTTCAATTGTACCCTGGATAAGTTAAAAATATTGAGACATTGCTTGTACTTCTAAATAACTTTACATTTAGAATAATATTCAGTTTAGGACATGAGATGATAATAATGTGTTGTATGTTCATGGTTCAAGTTCCTTTTTTCAACGGATGCAGTTTATGCTGGTCTATGTATTGTAATACTTCGAAAAATAGATTCCACGTATCGTACCAGAATGCTATTACGAATATGATGAAAAAGGGGGCAAATGGATTAATTCTCAAAGAGAAATTCTAGTCCCTCAGAAGTGATACATCTCACGTTAGATAAAACATTAGTGAACTTGAAAAGCGTGCGAGAACTTCTCTGTTCTCTAAACCCGAGACATTTCAAATTTCCTGCTTTCAGAGACATATCCACGCGTGCCGGAAAAGTTTTGGGTGTGAATCTGAGATTCTCAAGAAAGCGTTATTCATTTCCGAAATTATGTCATTCCCAAACGGATCTCGTAAAATCGTCTCGTTGCGCATTTTACCAACATGTTTAATTCCATGGCGGAAATTCACGACACAAAACTATATGAATTCCTTGCAACTTACAGCTTTGAGCTTTCGTTTCACGAAAGCCGGACGTCCTGCAGGTACTGCGGGCGGAGGATCTTCAATATAATAGGGATAAAAAGTTCAGAGCTTCTGGACATTTATTACATGAAATACAGCCGACCAGTGAACTTGGCTGTGAAGCTCGGTAGCCCGGAAGTTTTAATCTACTAAAAGCTTCGTACGGGCTTTTCATGGGAGACGCATAAAAAAGACTGCGAGAAAAAAAGGCGGCATCTCTCCAATTTTATGACTCGAATTAAGAGTCGAACCGCTTTATATTTTGTGTTTTCTCCATTTCACTCCGACACGCTGTTAGAAATTTCAATTTGAATAAAAATATTCTCCCATTTAATTTTCCCCGCAATATAATGTTATAGTTGTTTATGAAACAAGGATTTTGAAACAACTGTTTGTCAAACAACGATGGACACTGTTTTCATCTCTTTCTAAACAACCGGGATTATTTTGGAAGGATTATTCAGGGGCATAAGTTCTTCTTGATTTGATTCAAACTTTGGCTTAGCGTGTCGCTCTGTCGCAACAAAATCGACTCCTGTTTGTTGTCCTTCCTATTTTTTAAGTGTCTTCTTAAGAAAATCCTCAAACATTCCATCTGCGCTGGATAGGAATCCGATTTTTAGTGTGCCAAGGCACTATGAGCTTCCCTGAGATCAAGGAAAATCATGATCAAACCAAGGTGTTCAAACTCTCAAAAACTCCAGGGGCCCTCAAATTTCTAACAAACTTCCGTGCTTTTTTTGAACCTTGCTTTCGGAAGTACCTCTTAGGCCCAAAATCCTGCCATCAAGCAAAATAATACCTGGAGCTGGCGCAAAAAAGTTAGTGAAATTATCTTGAAAGTTGTTCATTTACATACTTTGGTTATACGTTCGGGAACTTTGAAAACCAAATATCCAGAAAAAAGGGAGTTTAAACCCTCGTGCTTTTTCATGGGAAGCTCCTCAAATGCAAGAGTGCTTGTAGACAAGGTAGGGATTTTTTCTTCAATGTCTTACATATCGACGGCGTATAAGTCTGCAATCACATACCTCGTTTGCGGTGTCTGAAAATCTCCGCCTCTATGTTATTTTTTGAAAGGAGAACAAATTGACATCATTCCTTGAAGTTGTTGCAGAATTTTCTTCGCACAGAGAAGAAAAATCACAGCAGTTTTAAAGACTTGCCGTTGAGTAGTTTTCCGTTTAAAAATTAGAGTAGGAAGTCTGCGACGTCGCAAACCGAGTTATGTGATTGCCTACTTACACGGTCGATATATGAAACGACCCACGAAACGGGAAGTTCGTGAGTTAGATTTTTGGCAAGATAAGAACATGTCTACTAATTACTGTTTAAGTGGAAATTTAATCATAGGTACCAGAGACATCGTTTGTATTTTTTTTTTCATCTGGTCGACGTTAATCATAACTGTTTATATTATTTTTAGATGTAGATTTTTTAACTTGCCGTTGTGTAAAACACTTTTTGCGTTAAACTTGAAAGAGAAGTAATTTGATGAATTGAGTCGTTTCTTTGTTGAGTGGCCCTCTGCGACACAGACGCACGAGAGATGGGTAAGAAGAATACTCACTCTGAGAATTGTTAATCCTCTTGATGCTGGGGCAAACCCTCCAGAGTCCAATTTTGAAGGAGACGGTGGTCGGTACGTTGGAGTTGGGCAGGAGGATGGGCTCTTTGGTGAAGAGCCAGACGTTGCTCACAAACGCGGTCACAAGTGTCACGACGGAAATCAAGCCGATGAGAATCCCGGTCCGGCTCAGAGCACTACTCGTATCACCGCAGCACATATTTCGGCCGCGATCACATCCTAACCCGCGCCTTCGAATCTCGCCGCACGCAACACGCGAAACACCAATCCGCGCTCACGCGACTACTCGATAGCAGGCACTCCATTTTCACGCACTGATTCGCTATTGAGAGCCGGTATCAATTCAAAGCAGGTGCCCTCAAAGTTTGATGAACGCTGCACGCAATGCAATAATCGCGTCCGACAATGATATAAATGGTGGTAACAGACCCAAATTTTTGTATTTTAAGCTATCGGTAAAAATTTCAACGCACAATATCGAAGAAGAATTACGAGCGTAGGAGATTGGAGGGTTTTCCCCTCTGAACAAAATCCTTCCTAAGTTGAAAGATTGTAAGAAGGGATCATAAGTAAACATAGAGATTTTACTTCATCAGGGATTACGTTTATCGAAATATTAAGTAAAATTCTACTCTTGAAATTACTTCGAATGTAAGAACAGATTTTTTTCTTCTTTTTATGAAATGACGGGTGCCTCAGGTTTTTCTGTTGAAAAGTCAAGCAACGTTAGTGATTCTCGAGCCTCCTCGATAGATTCTTTAAATAGTCCTTCATTTAGAAGATTCTATCTTAAAGTTGATTGAAACTACGAATAGGAGCTGCAAACAACTCGATTGAAAGAAATGTTCCTCCTCGGGATAGGTGATTTGGTCTAAACAGCTGTTTCCGTTACTAGTAACGACGAAAAAACCAAGTTGTGTCGACTTTGTGTGATTTTCAAGTGACGTTACTTGAAAACTTTGACCGTAAAGACGATTAATACAACGAACAAGAGCTGCAAACGCCTTGATTGAAAGGAATTGTAACTATGCCTCCTCTTGAGCGTAAATGATTTTGCCTACACGACAACAATGAAGGAACCCAGTCGTAATTTTACACGCGAGGGCAGAACGTCTGCATAATTGGATCCGAGAATCTTGCCTAATATCGCTCCTTTTGCTGCAGCCGTGAGCACGAGTTGGTTTTCTTTTGATCCACTTCCGTCTGGGTCGGGAGAAAAATCTCGACAATGCAGGAGCGCCAGCCCTGGCTCTTGAGCCTGGAGAGCGGAACCAGACCACTCGAAGCAGGAAAATCACCGGTGAGAATCTGAAACAGACGAGAGGATGCCGTGAAACTGCAGCCGAGGCAGGGTGCATTGTTAAATGGGAGAGAGCCTCTAAATGTATTTTGCATTGCACGACGCGGGTGGCCCAACCCAAGAGTTTGAAGGGGAAGTATACAAACAAGAGGCTGAGACTGGGACCCGAAATCCTCGCATGGTGAATTTTAGTCTCAAGTGTCAAGTAATTCGAGTCCCTTTTTTGCGCCTCTTCATGTCGAAGGTTTTATTGCATTCGTCTTTGTGTGCATTTTCACTCACTCTGACGCAATCGCAGAAGTTTCGTCTCGTTCGTCTGAGTCTGCCAGTTTGGAAACAATTAGGGCCGTGGGATGTGAAGATACATTTTATCAAAAGCCAGTCCCATATTTTTAGGTGAAAGTTTAACAGGTATTCTGAATGTCTGTTTGCTAGTTTCTCCCTTACATCGTCGTCCCGCCGACGTAAAGTCGCAGCTACATTTCCATGTCAGCCCTCCTCTCCCTATAACTTAATGCTTTTCATGGCTCACGTCAAAATAGAGTTACGCCCTTACGTCGGAGGACGATGAATATTTGAGCATTACTACGGAAAAAATTCAAAAATCCTCTCATAAAATTCCTCGATATACCTAGAGAGATTCTCGTTATAACGATAGTCGAAATTTAATAGAGGAAGTTGAAGGGACCGACCGATTTCCTCGTAACATATAGAAATTCTTGTTATAACGCGATAGTCGTTACATAGAGAAAGTACTGTAGTAAGTATATCTGAAAATTTCAAAAAAAAATGTTTGTAATTTTTCCCAAAATACATAGTTATTGAGAAAATATGGCTGCACGCGCGCATGCCAATACAATGTTTTTCCTTGGCAAGACATTTAAATGTTTCCTGGCACTTCATGTGTCTTCATGCAGTAACCGTTGATGTTAAGAGAATAACTGTATTGTTTTGATCTGAAACAGCCTTTCGGCGTTTCGTGTTCCTCAATTTCCTATTTCTTCTCCAGGGTTTTATCAGGCTTGATAACCATTGTGTATTCTAGTTCGACCGTTTTAAGGAAGAACGTCGCACATAGATCTTCGGATATTACCAAATTTCCTTTGACTTAACGCGATTTTCTCGAGAAACTTGTAAACAGCCGCCCCTCCCCCCTCATTTTTCAGAGAATTTTATTCGCAATGGATCATTGAAGAGAGTGCAAAATTAAGCACCACATTCATTTTTCATCAACATTTTATGTAAAATACGATGGATGCATTGGAGTTTCCCACATTCGATTCATAAATAAGAATGTTTTATGTGTTTACGTCGATTAAATTCACATCCTGTTCACAAGAAAACAAAATCCATCTAGTGCAATCGACTAAAATATTCTATAGAAATTGAAATATGGAAGACATCGATCATTCATGATGAAAAAATCTTCCTGTGCGGTGACCTCTTCTTCAGGCGAGATCAGAGGTGCCCTGTGTCAGAAGAGCAGAACATGTGTAAGAAAGCAAGCTCCTGTATTTGCCTCAAGTATAATAGGTACTTAGGCTGTTTTCAGTGGCTGATATGACGCACGTTGATTCTGAGTTTATAACTAGCGGATATTTGAATTCACTATAATATAAACCACAAACAAAAACTTCTCACTAACTTGTGAGCTAATCTTAGAAGTCCTCAAATTGGACTACATTTTTTAATTAGTAACCACAGTTTCTGACTCATACGTGTAGACACATATTATGTGCACAGGAAAACTGATAGCCACACGCCGTTTTCAAATGAGCTAAAAATTGTAGGTCCCAATTGCAAAACTTAGTTTAATTGTTCGATGTGTTCCCACTTGAAATTTTGATGAGGGAACACGAGCTGCGTATATGTAGTTCTTAACTGTAGGTATTGTAGTCTACTTGATCGAAACCGCACCTAAAAGTCTCGTAGAAAAATATGCAATTTTTGCAACGAAGAAGCCAACCATGCCACATCTAGCCTTTTGCTTTCTCGCTCATTTTATGATGTTTTCGTGCCTCTTCTTTTCATGTAATTTTTGGGGAAAAAACGTTATCATACGAACTCATCTTGCGAAATTAAAATCAGCGGCATATAAATGGCGTGGGAAAAATATTTAAGTTTTTGATATGTGCTTCAGGTAGCATCAGCACCTATATACCATTTACAGTTGTTACGACGGAATTTTTTGTAGCCGCGGATCATTGAAATCCTATGAAATACATTTAAGTCCTCGGTAATATTGTTGAATGACTTTAGATCCGCCCTTGCAAATTGACTAGATTTTGCAATTCGGAGCGACAATTTCTGGCTCAGTGTAGGAACAACGCATGTACAACCATTAGTATCCTTATTAGCATAATCATTTTTACGAATGAGCGAAAATTTGTAGTTCCTAATTGCAAAACGAAGTCCAAATCATCATATTATCATGCTGTTTGAGAAATCTTTGAACTTCTCTTGATCACAATCTACAACAAATGTGGCATCTGGGGGAGTATGCACTAATTTTAGATTTTTGCTTCTGGGGTACACAAATCTATGTTGCAGCTTTTGTAGAAACATGAGATAAAAGTCCCGGATTTTTTTTCTGAACATTTCAAATTTTTAGTACATAATAATTTTTACCAAAAAAAATAAATAAAATAAAAAAACACCGCTGAAGATTTGCAAAATCACGCCACAGAAGAAAGTTTCAATTTTTAAAAAACAAAAAAATCCGATGCTACAAATGAGTAACACCGTGCCATAGAGGGTTAACAGAAAACGAAACTATATCGCGATTTCACCATTTCTGTAGATTTCTCTTCGATTACAAAGAAAACTAGGCAATTTTTGGGGTATAGCTAGACTGATTTTGGCAAGAAATATAAACGCACGGAGTCGCGTGAGAGTTAAGAGAACACTAAACCATATCGCGATTTTACCATTTGTGTGGATTTCTCTCAGAATACAAAGGAAACTAGGCGATTTTTGGTTTAGCTGGACTGATTTTGGCATGAACAATAGGTGCACGGAGGAGTGTGAGAATTCTTACCGGTTGCGAGATAATCGTGAAAAGCGTCACGTTTCGACACGACAAGGGATGCGAGACGGCGGAATTGAGCGCGTGGTCGGTCGCGGCGTGGTTTCGGAGAACTGGCTAAGCTAGGGCGTCGGCGTCGGCGTCGCGATGCTGCGAAGGGCGCGGGTCTCAGGGATGAGGGATTCCGTCGCCACAACCAACGCCGCCGCCGCGCCGCCGGGTGACACGCATCACGCATGACAACAGCTACTGTCTCGCCGCGCCACGCCGCTCATCACCGAGCCGAACCGCCACGCTCCCGTCTTACCAAAGAGTTCAAAAAGGGCAAAAATGAAGTTTTCGGAGAATGAATAATACCTACTAGCTTTCGAGCAAACAATCGTACTCAACGAATCCTCCAATCTTGATGAAATTGTCAATTGGATCGCGATAAACAGAGGAACCAAGCCACAACAGCCTTTGCCAACTTTAAAAGGGTAATGGAGATGTTGCACGTGCGAGGGATTTGCGATTTGACCCTTGTTTCTCATGTAAAAGTTTGCGAGAAACACGATGGTGCCACTGGTTTTCTCTGAAATCATCTCCGAAGCTCAGAAAAAGCTCTCAAAGTGAGGCTAAAACGGAGGGGATATCCCACCCTATCCTGAGAGTCCACCTCTACATCAAAACAAACTCTCCATGCAAAGATAGGGAGTAAATACACTAGCAGGGATGCCATGTTTTCAGTTATACAGCCCCCAAATAAAGTGGCAGCCCTGTCAATGTATTTGCTCCCTTTCTTCGCATGGAGGGTTTGTCTTGGATGTAGAGAGGTGGACTCCCAGGGTAGGGTGGGATATCCCCTCCATTTTAGCCTCACTTTAAAAGCTTTTTTTGAGCTTGGGAGATGGTTTCAGAGAAAACCAGTGGCATTACGACGGTGTAAGTCGGCAATCACATAACTCAGTTTGCGACGTTGCAGACTTCCTGTCATACTTTATTTTTTAAACGGAAAACTACTCAACGGCAATTCTTTAAAACTGTCATGATTTTTCTTCTCTGAACGAAGAAAATTCTGCAAAAACTTCAAGAAATGATGTCAATTTGTTCTCCTTTAAAAAAAATTACAAATAGGCGGAGATTTTCAAACACCGCAAACGAATTATGTGATTGCTGACTTACACCGTCGATTATCGTGTTTCTCGCGAACTTTTACATAAGAATCAATGGTCAAATCGCAAATCCCTTGCACATGCAACATCTCTATTTACGTTTTTACATGGAAACGATTGTACGGATTTTTGTGCAAATTTCAGTGAATTTTCTGCATAGAACGAGGCAAATTCCTTAAAATTTTCAAAGGAATTCGCAAAAACGTTCTCTTTAATAAAAAATTGTATTGACCGGTTAAATTTGGGAGTAGATAATGTATGGCTCGGCTCCGTCCTGCTAAACGCGGTCCAATCATCATACAGACGACTGTTCAAAATGTAGCTTTTGTATTTGTAAGAGATTTGCGATTCAAGTAATTTTGAACCATAGAGAGATGTTTCATTTTTGTAAATTTAGGGGGGGATAGTGAGAACTTCAAATTTTTTGTGGTTGACTGTGGAAATGGCTATTCTTGAAAGTTTTTGAAAGAAAAGTATGCCGTAGGTAATCGTCCAATAATTTGCGCTATTTTATGCGGTAAAAGGGAAATTTTGGCTGCAAAACTAGGGGAGTTTGAATACCACTCCAAATTTGGAGGGGGGGCCGTAGAAGCGGTCGTCTCCACTTTCGAATTGCAAGAAAAGGATAGGTACGTCATGATTGAGGTCTTGCTTGTGTCAAGAGTTTGTTATTTAAATACTGATTCCTTAGGAAAATGTCGCAAAAAACACGATGGTGCCACTGATTTTCCCTTAAACAAACTCTAGAAGTAAAAAAGCTCTTAACGTTGAGGCCCTAATGGAGGGGATATCCCCCGCTATCCTGAAAGTCCACCTCTATATCAAGTCAAATTCTCCATACAAAAAAATAAAGCAAATACATTGACAAGATTGCCGCTTTGTTTGAGGACTCCAACACTGGAAGTGCCAATCAATGGCACGCATATTACCTATCTTCCTCTAATAGAGGTAGGTAACTAATTCTTATGATCGTTTAGAATCAGCATGAAGTGACCGAATGTTGGAAAATGGTTTTTCAGGTAAAAAAAATTGCAATTAACAGCATTAGGGAGAGTGGGGTTGGTTGGCTCACTTTTTTTAAAAACCTCTCCTATTCTCTATTGATACAATTTTTCCGAGTTTTTTTACATAGATTTGCAGCTTATACTCTCACCTATCAGTTCCATACAACAACTTGTTTCTAAATTGATATTTTCTTTAAAAATTACCTGCTTTATAAAAATTGGATTTTGAGCCATTCAACCCAGGCCTGGGGTTGAACGGCTCACCCCCAGGGTTGAATGGCTCACACGAAATTAGACATGATGTCCATGTCTTATTTCATGATTCAATCAGATTTTTTTTAACTTATTTGAAAAAAAGTTTTGAGAGCAATTCGAACTTAAAAAAGTTAAATTTATCATTTTTTCATCGTATTTAATCAATTTCGTGTGAGCCATTCAACCCCGGAGGGTGATAAAAACACGGGCCATGGCTTTTTCATTTGAACTTCACTGGAAAACATAAAGCGCAAGAACTAGTGATACATTCATTAAATAAAATATGAAACAGGTGGTATAGTGGAAAAAAATAATGTTAAGATGCATTAATCGCCAGGAATCAAGCGAGCCACTCAACCTCAGTGATAATGAGCCATTCAACCCCGAGAGAGGTTGATTTCCCAAAAGGCCTGGAATAAATATTAATCATAAGAAAACCAAATTATGAATCAATCGAAGTGTTCGTAAATGAGTCTAGAAGTCAAAAAAATTAACATGAAAGATAAATGAGTAAAATAACTAACGTTTTCAAATAAGAGTTTAACTCCAAAAGCACGCTGTTTTGCAGCAAAATTCGAGGTTATAAAACTTTGTTTTGTTAGAAATGAACAAAACACTGTTGTTGTTATTGATAGTGACCGATAAACATGCAAGGCATACTGCTGCCAACCCACAGGGACTGCAAAAGGGAAATTTGGCGATGACGGGGACTTGTTGCGACTATTTAAGCTTGTTATATGTCCGTATCGGTCCGACTGAAGTGCGAAACCACGTATCTCCATTTCGGTTTTTCAAAATTTCCGTTCTGAATACATCCCTTCCATGAGAAACAATCCAAATTTACGACTTTGAATTTTTAACCGAATCTTCTGCTATCGAATACGAAAAATCATGGAGAATTTAAGTTTCATGTTGACCACCCAGGTAGCAATAGTAACAGTTCAAAATTGCAATTTCACAACAGTTTTTACACTGTTACTTTTGTGCACTTTTTCATCGAAAAATTTGCTCTAGTACAACAGTTGAAAAACCAACGGAAAAGAGAAGTCCTTTGCGACTATAATCACTGAAAAATTTTTCTTACATACTTAAAAAATACCAGTGGAAAATTTATAATTTAGTCATGTTTTCTGAAAATATAACACAAATTTAACTAGTGTTATACACCGATCGAAAAGGAAACTATTATTGCAATAAAAACATACTTAGATTTGAAATGATTACATTTCATTTAGCCACGGCTCGTGGCGCCACGCAACAAAAATTGTTGCGTTTAGCCACAAGTTATAGGTGCTGTGTGGCTAAATGAAACATTCAAAATGAGTGTGGCTAAATGCAACAAATTTTGTTGCGTGGCGCCACGCAACAAAAATTGTTGCATTTAGCCACAGATTAGTGAGATAGATTTGAGTTGACTCATGAAATACTGAGGGTAATCTTCTAGGCGAAGCATATTAGATTAGGTAAATTTAGACAGCCACAATTCAACATATTGTTAGCGAGGCCCACGTCGCGTCGCATCGGACCTGACCTAACCCAACC